GTACCCCATCGTATAATAACAAAAAATTTGCCTCAAATTGGTAAGTATTATAATTAAGTATAAAATGGAAGATATAAATTAAAGATAATAAAGATAAAAATGAATGAAATACATATATGATATCAGATGGTATAAGTATGCATTATATTACAGAAATATTAAATATATTAAAATACTTAAAAATATCTGACAATATATAATAAAAGTATTAAGTGTGAGAGAGCACACGTAGTAAAGACAAGCAGCGGCACGCACAGGGAGCCTACACAGAATAACACCTGTACAGTGCTGAAAACAAGAAGCAGCCGCTGCAGCACTATAGACGTGAGGCGAGTAACCCTGAGAATTTTATATTTTAAATTTTAAAATTTGGGGAAATATTTTAAAGGAATTTTTTAAAATTGGAACTGAAGATTTTAAAAGTGCCAGTTCATGAAGGTCAAAATTGATGTGTGTGAGTGGCAAAGATGATGTACGAATCAGACAAATATCAGCAAAGTAGATCCTGTTAGCAGCAATGAAGGGAACAACTGGGAAGACCTGTATGTTTTTAAATTTTAAACTGGGTGCAGTGTAACAGCTACGCGAGTGTATACACCTGATGATGGCCGTTTGCGGCTGAAGCATGTAGTGTAGAAAAAAGCAAGATGAAAGACCTACAATAAATTGTTGCACTTATGATGGAATTCATATTGTAACGTGTTTTGCGTTACTGATCCCACTTCTGACANTCATATCATATATCGTAAGTGTGAGAGGTTAAGAATGTGTATGCCAGGTTAATTCCATAAGGTTCTGATGTTACAATGTAGTACTGGGCATGTTATGTCATTTATGGATCGTTTTTTGTTAAAAGCTTTCTACGTGGTAAAGCCAGGTTGTGGAGCACAGAGACAAGTTTCAATGATGTATAGGTTGTCAATGTGTGAGGTATGCATATATCTGATATGAATTGAGTCATTATATGATCATAAGTAGGGTCTGGATTTTGATGACCTAAAATATTTTTAAATGACCTATAAAATGACTGAAAAATGACCTAAAATTGTATCATGTCATGAAAAATCTAGAAATTATTTTAAAATATATTTTTAATCTTTATTAACACTGTGAATGCACTGTTACTCTTTTAAGTTCGTCCTAGTTTTTATGTTGAAAATTAAGGAATATATGACTTAATTTGAAGCTAAATGTTTTAATACGATTTTTTCTACCATGTTGGAATGCTTATCAAATGTACATACACAGTCTAGTACATATATCCCAATAATTAAATGTCACCTCATTCAGAATTGCAATAGATGACAGTTAACATGTGGAGATCCTCAAAGGTATGAGAGCGTCTATTGTCCAACAGCATATTCTTGTACCTGGAGAAACTCCTTTCCACATCTGCAGACACAATGGGAGCGTACCTGAATTGTACCAAATCACTAGATGAAAGTTCTTCTTCAATATTGAAAGTGCTGAAGGATTCTCCTGTCAGAATTCAAGAAATGCTGCATAATGTTTCATAACCGGAGTTTTTATCTAGAACGTTTCATTTTTCTTGACACCATTTTACCAATATCCCTTAACGCTTTCTCCAAATCACTGGCTATTTTCTTCACCAGAGTGAGCGTATCTTGTAGCATTGCTCCTTTCTCCTGTAAGCATTTGATTCCTTCCATCAAGGAACTGCAATTTGCCTTTATGAAGGCCAGCTGTCCTTCCATTTTGCTGCATGAGAACTGTTCCTGAGCAGCTTCAATTGCCATTGCATCTTCTGTCTTCACTGAATCTACAATGTTTTTCACTACGTGAAAATTATTGCAATAGTAAACTTTAGCATCAATCCACGTTCCCCACCTTGAGATGACGGGTTCTGGGGACAGTTGAACACCAGGAGCCATAGACTTAAATTGCATTTTACAAGCTGGAGCCTTGATGAAAATTGCCTTCGTCCACAACATGAGAGCATCCACTTGATGAAATCTTGATCTCCCTTCCTCCGTCACTCTATGCAGTGCATGAGCTAGGCAAGTAACGTGCACCAATTTCACATAAAACGACTTCGTTGACTAGTATATGCTTGTTGCAGCCGATATGTTGTTGTACCATGAATCTTATTTCTGCCGCTACTTTTGTGTCACACATTTTACAGTATAAAATGTCACCATCAGTTGGAAATATATCATCACCAAAATTCAGCTGCAATCTGCTTTAAATGACACAATTTAGATGGCTTTGCTTTAGGCATTGTGATAAAATTAATCACTCTAGTGCAACACAGAACTGAACTTTCACACTGAGAACCTTTCATCAATTGTATCTTTGCCTATACGGTCAAGGGCAAGAAACTGAACTCAGATGGATTTTTACTGAGCAACAATATGTCATGAAGAGCGAGGGATTCTGACTAGATATATTTGTAACTAAGCAAATTGCTTTGCACAAAACTTGGAAAGGGCCGCAGTGTGAGTGACCACTGTTGTACACTGCTGCCATCTTAAAATGTTGTATAATACGTATTGTCAGCAAAACGAACAGAAACGACGGGGCAGGATTACAACCTATTATTGCATACTGTGGTAGCAGGTACTTGGGGTGCAGTTGCAGGCTGTCTTTGTAGAGGCGGGAGAAGGGGAAAGAGAAAGAACATTTTACTTGCATATTATTCACATTTCTAAAAACATATGAAGAAAAAATTCTTAAAATGGCTAAAATGACAAAAAAGTCTAAAAATTTACCGAAAAATTACCCCAAAACTGAAAAAATGACCTATAAAAGTTACATTTCTGTAACCAGCAGCTCATCTCCGGGATTTATATATTTACGGGCATCGCATAGGATACAAAAAAAAAAGACGACATGTCATCAAAATGTGGGCTCTGATCATAAGATATGATGTATGCATTTTTGCCCAGGCATATACATGTTCGACGTGTTCTACTTGTGCATTGGTTCAATGTAGGCTGCCATAAAAACTGGCTCCCACACTGTGACCTTTAATGATCTATTTTGTAAGTGATATAATATTTGCATAAGATAATGACCCTTTTCATATTAGTGGTTAGTTTACTAACCACAGGCTTAAGACTTAATCAGGGTGGGTGGCTGGTTTACTAACCAGTAAGTCGGTGCATTATTGTGCACAGGCAGTTAGTATACTAACCGCATAATATTACTAAAGAAGTCACTTGTTTGAGGGCACATGAACTGATTCTGCTCAACGTGTGCCACATTATATTACTTCTGATACATTCTGTTGTGAACTGTTGACTTAATTTTGATGTTCTGGAGCTTATGGACTTTGGTTTGATCCATCTCTTCATGAGAAGTCTGGCTGCAAATAACACAGTAAAATGTCTTCGGTTTTGTATGATTTGACATTCTCAGAGCAGTGGTTATGAAAAGTCCTACCTTCTGGGATGTATGCTGTGCATTCCACTGAAAGCCAAGTGATGTTTCAGAGTAACATGTTGCCTACATCTTCAGGGTTCAAGCATAAGCCAAGCAAGAAACAAGCGTGAAGCAGGTAGCAATCAGATCTCTGCTTCATGCTGGTTTCTGAAAATGGAGGCAACATGTTCCTCTGAAATTTCGGTTGACTTTCAATGGACTATATGATGTGATATCTCTAAAGATAGCATTATGTCTTCAATTTTGGGGCACCAAACCTGGGTCCTCTTCATGTGTAAGATGTTCTGTATGTCTTCATACTCATAGCTGTGAATACTTGGTGTAATACTGATGTCATATGGACCTTTGCTCTAAATAGATCAGTAGTGAACTTACAAACTGAGATAACCTAGCAACTCTGACTAAGCACATGGCTATGGAAGTGATTTTTTTTAATTTGCTTAGTGGGGGGTAGAGTCCAGCTGGGTCCACTCGGCATGGCGGCCACTGATTGGCCTATTGTAGCCTCCCCTGGTGATTATGATGGAGAATTTGGTGGAGTGAAGACTGGCAGGGAAAACCGAAGTACTTGGAGAAAACCTGCCCCAGCGCTACTTTGTCAACCACAAATCCCACTTAACCAGACCCGGGATCGAACCTGGGCCGTCGCAGTGGGAAGCCAGCAACTAACTGCTTGAGCTATGGCGCGGCCTATGGAAGTGATACTGTTTGGGTGCATGATATAAACACTGTGTATGTTCTCAGAAAAGGCAGGACTAACAAATTATCAGAAGCAGGATTGAGTCATTTGTTTCATAAGAGAATCATGGTGTTGCCAGTTTGTCAAGATGAGAAGTAAGGAGGATTTCCTCTGAGACAGCTAATACATTTTTGCTAAAGCTTTCCTAATAGAATAGTTTTTATTTAAGACTATTAATTTGTGAAAATAGCATGCAGGATATTAAAAGAGTCATACAATTGACTACAGTATCTACAAAACTTACCACTGGCTTTTGTTTGAATACAAAATCTTAGAAAGTAATCAAAACACAGGTACTTCAACAAAAGCCAGTACAGTCACAGAAATTACAGGAGTTTAATCCTTCCAGACTACATGATGTTGGGCATTTAAATTCCCATCTCCCTAGTATAATTACATATGTAATAATAACGGCTATAAATGGTTAAAAATGTACAATTCTGAGTTGTTGTGGGCCTTCTTGGCCCTTGCACCGCGACCACAGTGATCTATTGTGCCTCTTCTGAGTAGTTAAGATGGCATCGAGGAAAATTTATTTTGAAATACAGAAAATAATAAAACTGTATAAAGCAACAGGAACATCGAGGCTGAAAGCAAACACTGTAAGTTAATGGTTAAAAACAGCTGAGACTATAACTTCATTCAACATGAATTACAAACACAAAACATTATTCAATACATTGCAAATAAATAACTGACTCCATATTTTGATTACACCATTCAAATTGAACTGAATGCAGAAGTTCCCAGTTGCTGGATTAGTAATGACTTCATATTAGAAATTAAGCTCAATTAGAACAGACAAACCACCATTCAGTATTTTTTGTTTTAAGATTTTTATAATATACTGAAAATGTACCTTCTGCTGCCTTTGCCATCCTGATGGACTCCACTGTTTGCTCCATGACTCCATCATCAGCAGCTACAACCAGTACCACCAAGTCAGTGACCTTTGCACCACGAGCTCTCATAGCAGTGAATGCTGCATGACCAGGAGTGTCCAAAAAAGTGATAGTTTTCTCACTTTGTAACTTCACTGTGAAATGAAAAACACATGACTATTAGAAGAAAAATAAAAAGAATATAAAAATTCCAGCATTCTCATGTTGGAAAGTATTAACTTAAATCCACTACAAAACAAACCCCGTGGCCTGTAGTCTGCAAGCGAACTATACCGACCAAGTGACCGCCGACTGTCGGCAAAGTTAGTGCCAACTTTTGCGGATTGAAAGGTGTCACGTGGTCAGTGCAACGGATTCTTACGACTGTTGACCGGAGGTGTTGTCTCCTTGATATAGTTCAATTATCCTCACGAGGCTGAGTGGACCCCGTTCCAGACTCACTACTTCCCAGAAAATCTGTTAGCGCAGGGAATCGAACCCGGGACCTCTGGATCTGCAGGTAGGAACTCTGACCACTAGACCACAGAGGCGGTCACAACTTAAATCTACTACAATTGAAAATTACAGTAACAATTTCAATAATTCAAATGTTACATCAAAGTTTAAGGTTGTCTTTTTTCAGGAAGAAACAAAGTCACTGGAGTCAAACCCCAAATAAAAAAAAAATAGCACTATGAATCTAACTTATGAGTTTCAATCTCTCAGATGCTCTTTAAATCATAGGTAACAATGATACAGTTCTACTGGAGGGAAAACTATTTTTAAGAGATGCCTCTGCAATCATTCTATACCAAAGTCCCATTTGTGACAATGTATCAGAATTAAAAACCTCCACACTATTAATAATAATTCCAATGACATATCTTATTGATAGATAAGTAGAACACAATTAATACTTCTGGGATCAAAACCCTTTTCTAATACAATTGTGCACCTCCATCTGAAAACACACAATATATATTAGGCATGGTAAAGCTCATGCTTGCTCACCATTCACCACATAAGAAATACCATGTTTCATGTAGACGTACATTTCATAAGATCTATAGCAAAAAAAGTTTTAATTAATTAAGCACTATGGCATGAAGATATATGGGAGAGTGGATATAGAGATCCACATTTTCTTGACCTTGGCACTAGTTGGAGGCGAGTGATCAGCTTCATGCCCTGGCCGTTTTATCCCCACAGAAAGAGCCACCGGTACCCACTGGATAGGAAGTTGGGTGGGTCACAGAACCAGTCTGGATTATGCAAAGAAGAGAAAATTCTTGACCCTACCAGGACTCAAACTCTGATCCCTCAGCCATCCAGCCTGTAGTCAGTTGCTATACCAATGTGCTATCCCAGCTCCTGTTGTGTCTGTCAAGTTCTTTTCTTTATGGTTTACTTAATGACATTGTTAATAGCTCAGGTTAGAAGTGTTATATGATGGGATGATAAAACAAACAATGAACTGGAAAGGAAGTGTTCATGACTTATTTAGGTACTAGTATCCCTGCAAATGCCTGGAGGACCTGCAGAATCCAGAAAAGCCTCAGCCAGGATGTAAAATGTCTAGGCCAAGATAGGTGGGAGTAACTGTGACCTTGACCTTAAGGTCACATGTTACAGTTATTCTCAATGCCATCCTCTATGAGGTTGGTTGAACTATGGCTCTGTCTTTGGTGCGGACGCATCATGGACCAGGAATGTATCGGGACACAGCTTTGGGACACCTCCTCATGGTCCTGCTGGGCAATGACAGTCTTGGGGTCTGGACTAGTATGACTAGCCGGGTCTGGCAGCTACGTTCCCATAAAGGGCAATTGTGTTTATATGACCGGAGCCTCCCACGGGGCAGCATAATGACTCTTGGGTATCACTACGGTCTACCCGGGATGAATGTGGGAGAGCACTCATATGGGGGTAGCTTTGGCTATTTGAGCTGTCTCCCTAGAGCACTGATAAGGTGCTGTAAGCCTTCAGGCTCACTCTAAAACGGTTCAGACCAACTCATGTGGAGGGGTGGGAATGTGGGGAGCTTATATACTACATCCAGAGGTGACTCTCCCATGAAGGTTTTCTTGGCCGCAACCTCATGATTAGCTGGTATCGCACTCCCCTTGAATGGGCACTCCAGGTCCTGGAGGCTTGTGAGGGCCTTATCCTTAACAGAACCAAACCACCCAAGCCAACGTGTAAGGAATCATGCTGAGGGCTGCGTGGCACTGGGGTGGTTATTAGCCAGCGTCGTGAACAATTCCCTTGGGGCACCAGGCAGCATCCCATTGTATTTATGCCTTCCACTCGCATGGGGCGCTGCAAGTGGTGATCTTCTAAATCCCCATGACTTGTGGAACGAAAATGAATACTGGAACTAAACGAAAAACCGGTCCTAAGGACCTTAAACAGAAGAGGGACTCCTCTCCAAGGAGATCCCTATGAGGGGGCAGGAAGCTCTGGTGCACTGCTAAGGGGCCTGGTTACAACCAGCGAACCTGCTGTTGAAATTTCAGCCAAAGGCAGGGACGAACCAGTGGTGAAAAACCTGCCTGAGGTAAATCTAGAAACCACCCTCTTGGGAGTCAATAGTACTGACATATCACTGCAGGGAACTAGCACTTTTAGAATATCTACAGCAGGAGAAGGTCTGGGACACCTAGTCTCTGGAGTATGTGGACACCGTCTAGTGAAGAAGGCACTGTCCACATCCGGTAGATGGAAACTAAAAAAAAGCAAGAGCTAGGGCAAGCAAAGCAGGAAATTGGGGCATTCAGCAACCAGGAAATGCAGGCTTGCCCAAGCAGGGAGAAACCCCTACTGAAACCCTTAAGAGGCCAAGGTCGGAGGGCAGTACCCCCACAGAAAATTCCAGAGCTCCAAAAAGGTCCCGGGACTCTAAGGGACCAGGGACTTACAAGGAGGCTATGACCAATATAAAGGTAGCTATCTTCAGGGAAACATATCCTGAAGATAAGCTAACAGAAGATGACCAGAACTCCATTCTGGAAGTACTGGGAGAGGTGTTCCATAGGACTCCAATAGGAGAACCACCACACCTGAAGTCCTACAGACTGGAGGAAGGTGCACTTATTGATATATGCACCGGCCAACATTTTGGTCAATGGCTAATCAAAGCTACTGACTACAGGCTGGAATCAGGGGCCAGGCTGAAGGCTACTGATGCAAGTAACCTACCCAAGCCTCTTAAAATTGCTCTCAGGATTTGGGACAAAGTTGCCCAGAATGAGGAAGAGCTGCTGAAATGGATTGCAAACCTTAATCCAGGACTTCATACTGCGAACTGGAGGGTACTCAATAAGCAATTTGAGCCGAAAGGCCAGAGGCTTATCTTACTCATGGACTGGGACTCTTATTATTATATATTACAAAGGGGACCAGACACAAGATATTTACAGGGCTCTCACAGGGAACTGTTAAAGTGCTGAAAGATCCTGAAGTTCAGGACCAAAAATAAACTGTGCTAGACACAGCATCCTCAAAATCGGTCTCTGAGGGGTAGGGGGATGATATACCCACTCCCTTGGATGACCGAAGTCAAGCAGATCAGGGGACCCCTTCGAACAGAAACCAGTCTGAGAATAGGGAGGAAAAGAAGATGGAAACTGACCCCTCCTCAAATGGAAATGATAATTAAAACAAGCTATACACACATATATAAACTTAAACTTAAACACACACACACACACAAAGGTCATACACACAATATGAAATTCCTTCAGATTATCCTACACCACAGCAAAGCAGCCATGACTTTATGCCAGCAGCCAGCTGAGGGAAAGGCAGATGTAGCACTTATTCAGGAACCTTGGTTATACAAGGGTCAAATAAGGGATTTAACCAACACAGGGGGAACAGTTTACTCTGATGCACCTGGTAATAATGCAAGATCCTGTGTTTATATCAGGAATCATATTAACGCCTTACCTTCGTTGGTGTTGTTCTAGACATGCAACAGCGGTGAAGATAACATACATGTATCAAGGAGGTTGCATGGAGCTGATTGTTGCTTTAGTCTACCTTCCATATAACTCACATGAACCATCATCAACTAAGGAAATGAGGAACATCATAGACT